ATACAAATTACTATAATATTCTTTAAACACCCTAGTGATGTATTTGGTTGAATGTACTAATTCTCCTTTGGGGGTCTCTCATTTTTTCTATATAATTCCTAGATTTGTTTTTCCTCTGAGCCCTCATTAATACTTTCCTGGCCTATCTCCCATCTATACCTCTCACTTATCATTTTATTAAATACTCTTCTCTTTTCTTCTTCCAGAAAATTATTTAGTTCTTTTTTATTTATTACCCTCTGCATTATCTCTTTTGTTACTCTACTTTTATGCGTCTGTTCAAGTTCAGAGAGTCCCTTGAGGAGCCCATTAATTTTTTCTCTTCTTTCCCTTTTCTTCTTTGCTCCAATCACAATTAATGATTCCTCTAATATAAGCCTTATGAACCTCCCACACTGTTGCTACAGACACATCTCCTGTATAATTTTTCCTCAAAAAATTGCTCTATTTCTTTTTTAATTCTTTGATCAGTCTCTTGATCCAGGAAAAGTGTCTCATTTAATCTCTATACTTTTCCCCCCCTTCAGCTCCTTTCCCCATATTAATTTCATTGTAACAGGAGCATGGTCCAATATTGATTTTTAATTACTTCTATTTTTACTTTGGCCAGAGACTCTATAAGTCGATGTTTTCCAACAATATATAATCCAATCTTGAATACATCTCATGTGCATGTGAGAAAAAACGTATAGTCTCTGTCCTTCATATGCTTAATTCTCCATATTTCCACAAGTTGACACTGAAATATCATCTTCTTCAAGGATCTCAGAGAGTTACTCTCCTCCCTCTGCACAGGAGATGTCATATCTATCTGCGGATCCATGCAAAGATTGAAATCTTTTTTAAAATCCATTAATTTTTTTCAAGACATTTTTCAAGAATATCTCCGGTTTCTTATTTGGACAATAATTTATTTGCTAATGTACAATCTATTTCCTGTAATCTACCCTTTAAAAACAGAAATCTCCCTTCAGGATCTACCAATCTGTCCTCCAACTTAAACCTTATATTTTTCGTGAATCCTATTGCCACTCCCTTAGCTCTTCTAATTGGGGAATCTGCATAGAACCACACTGGATAGTATCTAGAATTTAATTTCACGTTTGTTTCTCTCCCCAAATGTGTCTCCTGTAAGAAATCCACTGAAGACAGTCTGTGTTGAAGCTCCTTAAATAACCTAAATCTCTTCTCAGGGCTATTTAATCCATTGACATTGTAAGTTACAAACTGTAACTCTTCTATTCTTTCCTTACTCTCCTCTCCTCTCCACTGTCCCTTCTCCTCTCTTTTTCATATCTTCCCCAGACTAATGTATCTCATACTATATCACAGGGTATTTTTCTCCAGACTAATATATCTCCTACTATATCGCAGAGTCTTAAACTACCTACCCACTCCACATACCTTACTCCCCCTGACCCCTCTCCCCTCCCCCTCCCCCCCTCTCCCCTCCTCTCTCCCCTCCATAATCCCCCCCCCCCCCCACAGCCCACCCCTACCCCCTTTAGGCCTATGATTTGCCTACGAATCATTTGTGGTCCTAATCCCACCCTTGATTCAACTTTAAGGTGGAACTCTGACCATGTACTTCTTCCAGGTTGTTAGTCCCATCTCCCTTGTCATGCCTTTCTCTAGTAACCAAGGGAGAGGAGGGAGGAGAGAAAGAGAGAGAAAAAAGAAAAAAATCCCCCCTTCCCCACGATTCACATATGGGGAAAATGGTACATAAGTAGGGATAAAGAGAGAGAGAAAGGTATATATATAAAAAAAAAACCACACATCTCTCCTTCTCCTCCCCCACATCATTATTTCTGCTACTTGTTCCCCCTATGAGCTACCTGCCACCTCTCTTTTTCTATACCCCCCTATCTCCCTCTCCCCCTCCCCCAACCAAGAATGACTATTTTCTGCAAGTCGAGTCTTTCACAAAAATCTCTCAAGTCCTCTGGAAATCTCATTCTTGCTGAACGATCGTTTTTTCCATCCGATTAAACATGCTGGCAATCCCCAGCTATATCTAACGTTCTGCTTTCTCATTTGTTCAAGTAATGGTTTCAATGTTCTCCTTCTTGTTAAAGTTTCCACTGCTAGGTCAGCAAAGATCTGCAAATTTATATTTCCATATTTTGTTGCTGCCCTTTCTTTTATCTTCTTCCAAAGCTCATCTTTATCATGGTAATAATTAGAGATGAGCGAAGTATTCAAAAATTCGATTCGACTGATTCGGCGAATTCGTGGAAAATATTCGATTCGAGTCGAATATATTTTCGCTGTGAATTTAACTTAAAAAAGGGTGTTTCTAGGCTTCAGAGAGACTTAAATTTAGTGCAGAACACTGTACCTCTAATTTAAATGCCCTTTGGAGTCTGCTGGGGAAGAGAAATAATACTGTCAGTCAGTATGACATGCAGTTGAGTGCCGTCGATCTTAGAATCACCGCACACTTCACTCATTTGGCCAGTCACGGGGCCAAAACCAGTGTTTTGGAGCCACAGTGTGGCGTGGAGGCAGCAGCAATGGGAGGCCATACAGCAACCTATGACAAAATGGAAACCAGCAGGAGTGTGAGGAGACCTCAAAGTGGCACATGGCAGAGTGGGAGCAATGGGAGGCGGTACAGGGACCCATGTCACACTGTGGACCCAGCAGCAGACCGTGATTTGGGGCCTGGCAGCACCTATGGGGGAGGGTGAACTGGGGTAACGGGGTGGCCCACTGTGGCAATGGGATTTGGGGCCTGGCAGCACCAGCAGCAGCGTGACCAGGCGGTATGGCGGGGCCCATGGCAATTACAGGCTTCTGGCCAGCTATGGGAGGCCTGTAATCTGCCAGATGCCAACTCCCTATGACAAAAAATGGAAAACAGCAGGAGTTGTGAGGAGACCTCAAAGTGGCACATGGCACAGTGGGAGCAATGGGAGGCGGTACAGGGACCCATGTCACACTGTGGACCCAGCAGCAGCGTGACCAGGCGGTACGGGGCCCATGGCAGATTACAGGCCTGGCAGCAGCAATGGGAGGCCCGTAATCTGTCAGCACCCCTATGACAAAAAAATGGAACACACCAGCAGTGTGTGTGAGGAGACCTGGAAAGTGGCACATGGCAGCAGTGTGGCGATGGAGACAGCAGCAATGGGAGGCCGTACTGGGACCCATGACAGACTCAGCAGTGTGACGGAGGGGACTTGGCAGCAGCATGAAGAGGCGGTATAGGGGCCCATGGCAGATTAAGGGGCTGGCAGGCGCAGCAGCTATGGGAGGCTGGCAGCCGTAATCTGCCAGCACCCTATGTCAAAAAATTGAACACACCAGCAGTGTGAGGAGACCTGAAAGTGGCACATGTTTGGGGCATGATTCATGGCGGATTTAGTCAGTTGTGTAAGGAACTGGTGGTTTGAAATCCAGACTAATCCCACGCCTGATTCATTTTCACAAACGTGAGTCTCTCCACACTTTGGGTGGACAGTCGTGTCCTCCGCGGAGTTGCAATACCTCCTGCCGCACTAAACACGCACTCCGATGCCACGCTACTGGCCGGGATTGACAGCCTTTCAAGGGCAAATTCAGCTAGTTGGGGCCAAAGGTCAAGTTTCGTTGCCCAGTAGTCAAGGGGATTGTCCTACCTCGGTTGGCAGGGTGCTGTCCAAGTAGGCCCAAGCCTGTTGTGGTTTGAGGTCCTGCTCCAGGTCCACCTGATGCTGCTGCTGCTGCTGCGGCTGGTTATTAGTTTCCTCACTGCGCTGGTGAAGAAAGCTACTCATCATCGACTGCAGACTGAGGCAGCTGCTGCTGGTGGAGCTGCCACTGCTCCTACCACCCCACCCCTCCCCTGCTGCCATGGCAGCGTAACGCGAGCGCGCATCAGGGCCCACAGTGTCTGAGGATGGACGTTGGCGCAGACAGGCAGAGACCAGCTGACTACATAGGTGGTTTTTTATAGTACGTTATTTTGGCCTCCCTCTCAGCAGGTGTGAAAAAGGCCACCATTTTGGAACGGTAGCGAGGATCCAACAAGGTGGACAGCCAAAAGTCATCCCTCTGTCTGATGGTTATTATTCGGCTGTCGGTACGCAAGCAAGCGAGCATGCTATGGGCCATTTGTGCCAAGGAATGCGCGAGGGACTCCCTGCCTCCATCTCCACAGCATACTGCCACGGTGCGTCTGGGTCCTCTGTCTCCTCTTCCTCCTCCTCTACCAGATGCTCCTGCTACCCCCACTCCTGTCAGGGCTCCCAGGTGTGACCAGAGGTGTGTGGCTGACGCAGGGAAACGCAGACCTCAGATATGTTATAAACAATATAATTTATTAACACTAACAATACAAAACATAATACGCAGTGCAATACTAAAAAACATAATACAGTGCAACCAAACCAAACCAAACCAACCACCCACAGATAAACAGTACATACAAGCAAGCGTCGTCAGGCAGGCGGGGTCAATATCAATAGGGCAGGTAGGTACAGGGGGAGCAAGCGGAGATTGGTCGGGGTCACAGGCCAGGTTCAGCAGGTAGCAAGCAGCGTAGTACAGAGGGTCAGGCAGAGGGATGGTCAGGGTCACAAGCCAGGGATCAGAACAGGTAGCAAGCAGTGTGGTACAGAGGGTCAGACACAGGGATGGTCAGGAGCGAGCCGGGATCAGAGCAAGAGAAGTCAGCAGCGGTTCAGAAACAAGATGCAGGACAGAAACAGGATACAGGGCCCAGGACAAACACAAACACACCAAGGCAGAGTCTGCAAGTCTGGCCATCCCTTAAATACACCAGTATCATCAGTTCCAGGTGTTAGCTGGCTGAAAGGTTGAGTCTCTGATTGCAGGGAGCACCCGCTGGCCAGCCCTGGTACTGCAGATCAAAAGGCAGGTGAGTCCCACCATTGCTGGCCAGTCCATTCCTGACAGTACCCCCCCCCTCAAGGAGCGGCATCAGGACGCTCCAAACAGTCCTAGCTGGGCAAAATGTTCCACGCTCCGGGTCTGGTTTAACTGGCGGGATATCAAAAGACAGGCACACCGGGCTGGACCTCCGGGCAGAGGCAACACCGGGCTGGACTCCGGGCAGAGGCACACCAGGGCTGGATCTGACGTCGGGCAGAGGCAACACCGGGCTGGACTCGGGCAGAGGCCCACACGGGCTGGACTCCGGGCATGAGGCACACCGGGCTGGACTCCGGGGCAGAGGCACATCGGGCTGGACTCCGGGCAGAGGCACATCGGGCTGGACTCCGGGCAGTGGCACATCGGGCTGGACTCCGGGCAGAGGACACACATCGGATTACCAGGCGAAGCAGCAGGCAGCGGGCCACCCCAGGCGGAGCAGCGGGCACCGGGCCAACCCCGGGTGGGAGCAGCGGGGCAACGGGGCCCCGGGCGGAGCAGCTTGGGGGCACAGGGCTTCACGGGCCGGCGTGATAAAATTAAGTCTTTGAGCAGCGGGACCACCGGGCTCCCCCGGGCGGGAGGCGACAGGCACCGGGCCCACCGGGCGGGGGCGACAGGCATCGGCCCCTAGGCGGAGCGGCGGGCGCCGGGCCCCCAGGTGGAGCGGCGGGCGCCGGGCCCCCCAGGCAGGGCGACAGGCATCGTGGCTCCCAGGCCGGGGCGACAGGCAACGTGTCCCCTAGGCGGTAGATAATTTTTGGCGGGTGCGGGGGTTGCCCAGGGGCCCCCAGGGCGGAGCGGCGTGGGGGCGCCGGACCCCCAGAATAGGCGGGGCGACAGGCATACGGGGTCCCTCAGGCGGAGCGGCGGGCGCCCGGACCCCCAGGCGGAGCAGACGTCAAGCATCGGGCCCTCAGGCAGAAGCGGCGGGCGCCGGACCCCCAGGCGGAGAGACAGGTCTCGGGCCCTCAGGCGGAGCGGCGGGCGCCGGACCCCAGGCGGAGCGACAGGTCTCGGGCCCTCAGGCGGAGCGGCGGGCGCCGGACCCCCCAGGCGGAGCGACAGGTCTCGGGCCCTCAGGCGGAGCAGCGGGGCGCCGGACCCCCAGGCGGGAGCCGACAGGTCTCGGGGCCCTCAGGCGGGGAGCGACAGGTCCTTGGGCCCCCAGGTGGGCAGGCGGGCGCCGGACCCCCAGGCGGAGCGGCGGGCGCCGGACCCCCCAGGCGGAGCGACAGGTCTCAGTGGCCCTCAGGCGGAGCGGCGGGCGCCAGACCCCAGGCGGAGCGACAGGTCTCGGGCTCCTCAGGCCGGAGCGGCGGGTCCGCCGGACCCCACAGGCGGAGCGACAGGGTCGCTCGGGCCTCAGCGCGGAGCGGCGGGCGCCGGACCCCCAGGCGGAGCGACAGGTCTCCGGGCCCTCAGGCGTGAGCAGCGGGGCGCCGGACACCCAGGCGGAGCGACAGGTCTCGGGCCCTCAGGCGGAGCGACAGGTCTCGGGCTCCCCCAGGTGGGGCGGCGGGCGGCCGGAAAACCCCCCCCCAGGCGGAGCGTAAGCGTAGCAGTGGCGGGCGCCGGACCCCCATGGCTGGAGCGCGACAGGTCTCGGGCCCCCAAGGCGAAGCGGCGGGCACCGAGTCACCAGGCACGACTATGTGGGCGCCCAAGTCAACTGGCATGACCGCTGGCACTGGGTCAGACAATTGGTAATCGTGCTGGTAACTGGACAGCGGGCATCTCGGGTCACCAGGCTTCAGGGTCATTTGGCTCGACAGCGGGGGGGCACCGCGTCATCTGGCAAGGCAGTGGGCCTCCGAGTCAACTGGTATTGACCGCGGGCACTGGCTCGGGGTCAGATCATTGGATCGTAACTGACCTGGACAGCGGGCCCATCGGGTCACAGGCATCAAGTCATTTGGCTCGACAGCGAGCACCGCGTCATCTGGCAAGGCAGTGGGCTCCGAGTCAACAGGCAACGGGACAGTGGGCCACCGGATCATCAGGTACCGGTTTTTCTGGCTCGACATGCGGGGCATCGGCGTCACCAGTATGAACAGCGGGCACTGGGTCACCAGGCATCAGGTCATTTGGCTCGACAGCCGGGAACGCGTCGACAACCTGGCAAGGCAAGTGGGCTTCCGAGTCATCTGGTATGACCGCGGGCAACTGGGTCAGAGTCATTGGATCGTCTGACAGGACTATCGAGGCACATCGGGTCAACCAGGCACAGGTATTTGGCTCTCGACAGCGGGCACCGCGTCATCTGGCAAGGCGTCAGTGGGAACTCCGAGTCAACTAAGGGCACGACACTTAGTGGGCACCGGGTCACCAGGCATGCGGATTGTTCTGGCTCGACAGCGTGGCATCGGGTCACCAGGTATGACATGCGGGGCACTGGGTCACCAGGGATCAGGTCATTTGGCTTGCCAGCGGACAAACCGCGTCGTATCTGGCACAGGCAGTGGGCACCGGGTCACCAGGTATGACAGTGGGCTCTGAGTCAACTGGCACGACATGCGGGCACCGGATCAGGCACCGGATCATCTGGATCAACAGCGGGCACACCGAGTCAACTGGCCCAATAGGATCGCAACGGGCTGGATCAGTCCATCACGCTGAGCAGCGGCTTCAGGCTGAAGAGAGGGCATCAGGCTGTAAGAGCCATAGAGGCATCCAGGCTGAAGTGAGGCTTCAGTCTGATCAGAAGAGAGAGGCTCAGGCTTCTGAGTAGAGGCTTCTAGGCTGAGTAGAGGCTTCAGGCTGTGGTACGAGGCTTTCAGGCCGAGTTAGAGGCTTCAGGCCGAGTAGAGGCTTCAGGCCGAGTAGAGGCATCAGGCCGAGTAGAGGCATTCAGGTCCGAGTAGAGGCTTCAGTGCTGAATCCACGGAAGGCAGGTTCACCGGTTTGGATACTGGCAGGATGGTATTGGTTGGAAAGAATTTTAGCTTTTTTTTCTGGTTTTAACTACTGGAGCACTGCCAAGTAAACGCAGGTCTGCAAACGAATGGAGCAGCTGGAGAGCAGAGAAAAAACTGGAGGATGGAACAGGAGAGGAGCAGTTGCTACAGAGGGCTTTTTTACAGGGTTAAAGGCAGGATAGGTGCAGCGAGTGGGAACAGGGGACTGACATGCGGTAGATAGCCAAGTATACTGGGCTGTAAACTGTAGGAGCTGTGGGTGGGAATACTTTGAGGAGTAGAGTTAGAAGCAGGACTGGGTTTTTGTAAGCTGACTGAGGCTGGGTGCAACAAGTCTGTCCATGTCTGCAGTATGGGTTGAACAAAGCTGAGCTTACACAAAGCCTGTCTGGTCAATGACTGCACTGCGTTTATACAATCACTTAGTATCCTGTGGTGAACATGCAGAATAACGCTACCAGAAAGTAACCCACATATCCTCTAATAACCACACAGGGACTCTAACCTGGTCTGCACTAAATGGTGGCAAAAATTCATCCCTGCATTCGGGGGAACCAGATGAAACCCAACTCAGCACAAAACCTGAATCAAAGGGCTGCACCTCAGAGAATGGATCTGTGCCCTGGTCTACTAGAACATGAGCGATAGCCGTATACATTGGAGCAGTTGGCATCACGGGGTTAACAGGGGATACTTGTTCCTTCAGAGTTTGTGATTAAGCATTACTCGTCTGTCATCAAACAACTGAGCAGAGATAAATACTCAACCTCAATCCAGATTCCAGCTCTTCCCATCAATCAAGTCCAATTGGATGGCTTCCCTGTGCAGCCCACTTCTGGTCTTGGATTGGCCTTGGGTGTAATGTCTGGGGCTCCCAGGTTTGTGACCAGGAGATGTGTGACTGAACGCAGGGAAACGCAAGACCTCAAGATATGTTATCAAAGAATATAATTTATTAACACTAAACATTACAAACATAAACGCAGTGCTATACTAAAACATAATACAGTGCAAACAAACCAAACACAAGAACACAGAACCTCCAACTGCATATCTGTTCATACAGACAAGCGTCAGTCAGGCTGGGACAGGCCCGAGTCCATTTTAGCAATAGGGGCAGGTAGGTACATAGGGGGATAGGGAGCAAGCGGAGATTGGTCGGATGGTCACAAGCCAGGGATCAGAACAGGGACGCAAGCAGCGTAGTACAGAGGGTCAGGCAGAGGGATGGTCAGGGTCAAAGCCAGAAGCCGGATCAGAGCAGAGAAGTCGCAAGTGGTCAGAAAACAGGATGCCAGGACAGAAACGAGATACAGGGTTCAGGACAAACACGACACCAAGGCAGAGTCAGTGGGTCTGGCCATCCCTTAAATACCCCAGCTTAATCATTCCCGGTGTTTGCATGAACTGCAAAGTTGCAGGTCTCTGATTGCTGGGATACACCCGCGGCCACCCTGGTACTGCAGACTCAAACAGGCAAGCATGAGTCCCACCAATAGCTGGCCATCCAGTCATGACCCAACCAGTGTTTTCCTCATTGTTGCCACAAGGTTGTTTCCCAGTGTCACCAGACCAGGATTTAGGTCTTTGTAGTATGCAGTGCTGTCCACCATCACTGGCCATTCCAACTTGGTCCCACCAGAATCAAAAGGAAGGTGAGTCCCACACATTGCTGGACAGTATCTTATGAAAGTTTACCACTACAAGTCCACTATGTCGACCAGCCTCAGTGTAAGCTAGCTAACACTCCTGATTAGCTGCCACAACCACTCCTAGTGTCCACCGATACCTGTGGTTATGCCTAACTGGAAGCCAGTGTTCTAAGAATCACCTCCACGACCAGTCCCAGTGATCTACACATACTCGATGGAACAACAAACTGGGCTGTTTTCCTGTTCCAGTGTTGCACAACTGCCTGCCACTCCTTTCAGAGGCACACTGGACTTGTTTAATTGCATTGAGGCACATTTAGCCTGGGACTGCCTGGACGCAGAGGATCATTGTTGCTTGGACTTTTGCTGAGGCACATCGTTCTTGCTTTGCCACCTAGATTCTGGACACCAATTTGCACATTCCCAGGCTAACTTGATTTGCCGGTAAAACAGCAAGGTTCCACAAGGCGGGATCTAAGCCGATGGTACAACTGCGGACTCCTGGAGCCAAACTCTTTTGTTCTTTCCTATTCTTCATTCTACTGTACGGGCCTAGCCAGTGAAACCATGGCATAGCTAGCGAGGCACCACAGGTCCCGGGAGTAGCTTAGGCTTGCACTTGGTTATAGGCCGGGACCACTCAGGCACCGAGGCCCCGGGCAATGGCGGGGTACACTGTTTTTTTGAATACAATTGGTTGATTTTACGTACAATATAATTAGACGATAGCCGAAGTATTTCACCCATTCGTATTGACTGATTCTGACGAATCGTACGGCCCCCCATTTGATTCAGAGGTCGAATATATTCCGCTCGCGAATTTAACTTACTAAAAGGCGTGTTTCTAGGCGTCTGAGAGCCATTAATTAGTGCAAACACTGTAACCTTTAATTTAAATGCGGGCTTGGAGTCTGCTGGGGAAGAGAATAATACTACAAGTCAGTATGACATGCAGATGATGCCGTTGACCCTTAGGACAGGTCAAGCGACAGGCATCGGCTCACTCATTTGGCAGTCAGCGATGCGGGCGCAAGGACCCCAGAGTTGTGAAAGCCACAGTGGTGGTGGTGGACGGCAGCAGCAATGGAGGCCATACAGCACCCTAATGACACAAAAATGGAAACCACCA